TTTGTTTCCAAGCGTTTTCTGATATACATCGTGTCAAGTGTGTACGGAATAAATCGAACTCACTTTAAGCACATAAAACAGAACTTACAGATTTACACTTTTATCGTTTATTTACATCAAATAAGAAATCATGAAAATAGAAATGAAAAAATGGTGATCAAAAGTATTTAAGTTTTTTTGGTGATCAAAAGTACTTTTTTCCTTAATTTTAATTTTTTCTTTTTCATTTGTTTCTCTTTCTATTATAACATCGGTGATAGTCTTGTGAACTGGAAAGTTGAAAATGATCGGCTAAGATCGAAAATTCCTGCCAAATAAACAAAATATATTAAACTACATATAAAGTTGCTTAACACTGCATAGTGAAATGACTGTAATATACGATTCAATGTATGGTTATCTTTTCTTTGTAACGGTCAAAATTGCAGATCCATATCTGGTTTCTATAGAAAATTATTCAAAAAAATATTCACTTGTCTTTTTTTAATAGGTATTGGTGTTATCGTCCAATATTATAACAAACAACTATTATCAAGATTTTATTATGATATGAGTTAGAAAATGATGAATTTTTGCAGAAATATAGACCATCCTTGTTACTATTAGTGCAAACAGACAGAAAATCGTCTGAAATTTTCAATACGATATTGAAGTATCACTGACACTACTTTTTGATTACTTTCCCCAGTTCATAATATAGAAAAACTATTTGATTAATTTTAACGATTATTTTGACAAATAGACTTTTCTCATATCAGAATCAATTCTGATCTCCATGTTATTTTGAATTATTTAAAACAATCAATACTATAGACAAAGAAGCTAACTAAATACATAATAGAATATGAATAGTAAAGAAAATGTGCAGCGTTACATCCAGTTGCGTATGCATATCGATAAACGATGATTGTATAATCAACCAAGGATGAAGATTGTTTTTGTTCATTTAGTAGATCAAAAGCAGACTTGAAAATAGTATTTTAATAATTGAAAAACTATAATTAATCAAATATTGTGTTTAGACAAATATCAACAATGAAAAACATTTATGTGAATAAGACAACGATATAAATGAGACACATCCATTAATCATCATGTAAAAAGAGCTGCTACAATAATGTTCTTGTAGACAAACTTGAGAATTAATTTGCTGTTCTACATTTATGAATGAAACTAAATATTAAATTTAATCGTTTTTCATAACTCAATTAAAGTTTATTCTATTCAATCATCATTCAAATAAAAAGAAAATTAAAAATAAATTGTTTCTATTCATTAAAGTTTAATATAAATAAAAATCTTTGATCTAAAGAATCAATATTTAATGGAATTTCTTCAAGATGTGTTAACATCAAAACTGCTCTTGTGTCTGTATCAATAGCTATATATGATTCCGGAATATTAGTTGATTGAAATACTACCATATCTTTATTTATTTTACTTGTTAATAATTTAAATGTTGCATCTTGTTCGAATAAAATTGATTGATCATTTTTTCCTAATTTAATTCTTCGTTTTTCATGACGTAAATATGTATCATATCCTGGTACTGTTAAAACTGATATATAAATAGCTGAACAATCATTTTCAAATGATTTTTTATCTAAAGGATTTGTAATTAAAAATAAACTTCGATCTATTTGCGACATTGTTACTGATGTTTGAGAAGCAGCTGAATCAAGTATCAATGCTGATAAATAACGAGTTTCATTAAATGAACGAATATAAATTTTTTTATTGAAATAAATTGAACTTCGATCTAAATTAAATATTTGATTAGTTGTGACTATCAAAATAATCGTTGTAACAATCTTGATTTTTGTGAAACTCACATATATTTTCGAAGAAAATAGTGAATATAAGTGTAAACCGAGATTCTTCGGCTGCCATCGTAGATCTTAGCAACCGGAAGTGCGAAGAGAAAAACCAACGATCATTGGATACATTTCCGAAACAACGGAAAAAGGCGTGTAAGTAATAACAGTGCTTAGATCATTCTCGAAATTTCTAGAATTTTTCGAAGCATTCTATGAAACTCAGATTTTTTTTACTGTAGATTCTGAAGGTTAAATATTGCAGATTTTCGTATTTAATACAGCAAAAGGATCTTATTGTAGGTGTCAACTAGTAGAACGATGGTGTTATTGATCTAGCAGATTCAAAATAAGATGAACATACAAAAGTATGAGCTAATTGAATTATAAGTTTCGACAAAACTCAATAGTATATGTCAAAGTTTCGGGAGAGAAAGAATTATAACAATATTAAACAAATCAAATGAATTAGTATAGATTAGGGATTCAACATACAATTATTTTCGAAATAATAAAATTTCGGAGCGTACATATCTACTATAAAAGTTCTTATAGCATTGATTTATTCATTTACCTAGAATTTTTCTAAGTCAATTACTTTAATCCCTCTCACAATATACCATAAATTTATAATAACCAGAGTTTGTTTGAGCTCCATATATTGATCTCTCACGAAGCCATACTAACAAGTTTTTATTTGGAAATTATTCTGACTCGTTCTCAATTTGTTGAATAGTTCCGAGTTATTTTTATTCTTCTTTTAGAAAAAAGAAGCACTGAAGATAAAAAAAAAAAAAAAGAATACAGGATTATTTATCAAAACTTAAATGAATGAGAATGATTTCGAAAAACAAATCGGGAAGATAAGGATTCATGGTGATTTATATTTAAATTAAATTAAAACTTACAAATTACAACTTGTCGAATTTTCAAATTAGCCACTGCTCCAAGTAATTTTGAAGAAAATAAAGTAAATGTAAATGAAGAATCTACTGGATTACCAAATGGTTGAGAGCGGAAGGTTAAACGTCGAATTTCTTTTGATTGACAAACATCATCACAATATGAAGGGAAGTCAAAACCAATATATAATTGAAGAACATAATTACAAACTGTTTTCTTGGATTTATGTGAAGAACTAAAATAAATATGTTTTTTTTACAAAAAAAATCTTTAAATAATTACGTTTGATTGATACTTCAGTTTTATTTTCTATTTATTCATGTTGAGTTCTAAAAATTTTTCAATCATTACTAATAATAAATTCCTTTGATAATCATTCTCTGATTTTTTTTTAATCAAATTCTTGGAACAAATTCAATCGTTATTGTAGTCTAAATGGGCATATCGCTTACTTTTTTAGCCTTTTTGTAATATTTTAATCCAAACTATAATATATTGAGTACAGTAGTTTTAAAGGATACATTTTAGTTTAATGTTCTCAAAAGTGAAACTTTGATTGAAATTTGCTATGCTTAGTATTCTACCGATATAAGTTAAGAGAATCAAGAGAAAGATCCTTTGAAGATTTTCGAAATTATATTCATGAGTAAACTAAACCTCGCTCACTATTAGAAGACCTCGAATCTTTTATTAGATTTAAGTGTACAAAGTTTGTTGAAGGAGAATTGGACCCTCTATTATATCTCATTTATTTTCATAGTTTTTTATGTAAAAGGTTTTTTCAAAAAAAACCATAAAGGTTTCGAGGATTTTAGAAGAGATAATGTCAGTGGCGTAGCCAGGATTTTTGTACATGCTGGATTTCACCTTCAGACCATGGAATCCAGATGAAACTTATGGAGGGTGATATTAGACCCAAATGATGAGTTTTTATGAAAAATTTTTTGCGACCGGATCTTGCGAAAAAGAATCTTTTTTTTTTCTTAGCCCCCCCTAGAATATTTTTTGCTTTTGGTAGTATTCCATTTTTTTAGAGTTTAGTCGTAATCTACATCGAATTTCATCGACAGATTTAAAATTTCATCTCAAAATATGCATCCGTTCAAAAGTTATAACGTTTTGAATTTTTACAACATGTCGCAAAAA